CAATATGGCGTCTTTAACGTGTAAAGTTAATATTGATGTCAGATGGTATACCGTCGGTATTCTGGTTACCTTGTATACCGTCGGTATTCTGGTTACCTTGTATACTGTCAGTATTCTGTAGTGTCTTTGTTGTCTGTTATCTCACATCTTTATGATTGTTTTATAGACGAGAAAATGTATTATTCAAACAACGATCTCGGTCTTTATGCATATAATACCTATGATAGATGCTATAGCACACGGCTGTTTGTTGTACGTGATTTTTCGCGTGTTTTCAATGGGTAGACCTACATTTTGTATACTAATACATATATTTTCTTCATTTCAATCTGAAGAGTTGTTGCTTGACATACACATATGTTATTGTTCTGTAAAACAAAAATACTGTGTAAGTAGAAAACGTCTAAGATCGAAATATATACAGTTAGCTGTCTATGAAACGAAAACAAGTACTTAAATACCATCAGCTGATATCTAGATTTAGCGGCAATAAAGTTAGTTATACTTCGCATTACACCAATTAATCTAATTGTAGAGTACCGCAATCCGAATTCGACGTTCATTGGGATATACTTTATGCTAATTCCCGGAAATAATTTAAATTCTAAACCTGACATCGCCAGTTCGTGATATACTTCCGAAAATAATTGTTCAAAGTTAGGGTACTTTAGCTTAGCTTAGCTTAGTATGATTACTATATAGTTGGCGTTGATCCGAGATCAAACGTTAGAGTTCGTTAGCTATACAGTTGGTGTTGATCCGAGATCAAACGTTAGGGTTCGTTAGCTATACAGTTGGCGTTGATCCGAGATCAAACGTTAGAGTTCGTTAGCTATACAGTTGGTGTTGATCCGAGATCAAACGTTAGGGTTCGTTAGCTATACAGTTGGTGTTGATCCGAGATCAAACGTCAGAGTTCGTTAGCTATACAGTTGGTGTTGATCCGAGATCAAACGTCAGGGTTCGTTAGCTATATAGTTGGCGTTGATCCGAGATCAAACGTTAGAGTTCGTTAGCTATCCGAGATCAAACGTTAGAGATCGTTAGCTATACAGTTGGTGTTGATTCGAGATCAAACGTTAGAGTTCGTTAGCTATACAGTTGGTGTTGATCCGAGATCAAACGTTAGGGTTCGTTAGCTATACAGTTGGCGTTGATCCGAGATCAAACGTTAGAGTTCGTTAGCTATACAGTTGGTGTTGATCCGAGATCAAACGTTAGAGTTTGTTAGCTATACAGTTGGTGTTGATCCGAGATCAAACGTTAGGGTTCGTTAGCTATACAGTTGGCGTTGATCCGAGATCAAACGTTAGAGTTCGTTAGCTATACAGTTGGTGTTGATCCGAGATCAAACGTTAGGGTTCGTTAGCTATACAGTTGGTGTTGATTCGAGATCAAACGTTAGAGTTCGTTAGCTATACAGTTGGTGTTGATTCGAGATCAAACGTTAGAGTTCGTTAGCTATACAGTTGGTGTTGATCCGAGATCAAACGTCAGGGTTCGTTAGCTATAAAGTTGGCGTTGATCCGAGATCAAACGTTAGAGATCGTTAGCTATACAGTTGGTGTTGATTCGAGATCAAACGTTAGAGTTCGTTAGCTATACAGTTGGCGTTGATCCGAGATCAAACGTTAGAGTTCGTTAGCTATACAGTTGGCGTTGATCCGAGATCAAACGTTAGAGTTCGTTAGCTATACAGTTGGCGTTGATCCGAGATCAAACGTTAGAGTTCGTTAGCTATACAGTTGGCGTTGATCCGAGATCAAACGTTAGAGTTCGTTAGCTATACAGTTGGCGTTGATCCGAGATCAAACGTTAGGGTTCGTTAGCTATACAGTTGGCGTTGATCCGAGATCAAACGTTAGAGTTCGTCAGCTATACAGTTGGCGTTGATCCGAGATCAAACGTTAGGGTTCGTTATCTATACAGTTGGTGTTGATCCGAGATCAAACGTTAGAGTTCGTTAGCTATACAGTTGGCGTTGATCCGAGATCAAACGTTAGAGTTCGTTAGCTATACAGTTGGTGTTGATCCGAGATCAAACGTTAAGAGTTCGTTATCGCTATTTCAGTAAAGGAATGCTGAAAGGTCTTATTAAGAGTAAAAACATAGAAGAGAACAGAAGGGAGAAGATCCAACTTTCAGAGAACAAGTAATGATAAAACAACGGTGGGTGCCGAGATCCCTCCGGGATCTCTTGTTTCAGTGATAGGGATTTAACAACAGTTTAACGGTATTTTTGAAGAAATGTACTGATCGTTCACGCAGCAAACAAACATCCAGACGTCATTTTTAAACTAGTAGACGTTGATGCACATTGATGTACAGATGTTAATATTCTACTTTGACTTAATGTATTGTGGCCGACCCGGTATGTTATTAACACAAAGTAATTTAAATATTTATGACGAAGACTACAGATTTGAAACTTGATTAGACAATGAAGTCTTTTAATTTCTCTTTAATTGTAATTTTTTTTCTGTTAATATCAACAGATTATTGACGCTGTGAGACAATGGTATGGTAGATATTTGGCCCTATTTGTCTGTGTTTTGTCATCTTTCTGGAAATTTACACCGTGTGTATATATACTATGGTTTCTATACACACCACTAACCATGTTATCACAGACTGCTTCTGTAAGACCTCCGAGTGACTAAAGCGTTTTGTCTAAGGGTATATACTGTAAATTAATGACATAAGGTGCTCGTTTCAAACACAACAGTATCCACTTGGACATTAACTAATGGTAACTTGCCAGTTCAAGTCTGATCATGCTTACTCTGTATTTATAATAATTTGAACCAGTTTGCTGATCTAATTCGTGAATCAAATCTATTTGTTAACTGCCGGGGCGGTCAGTAGGTATTGACAATGTCGCTGCTAAAGTCGTTCAGGTAATTATATATCTCAATGTTGGAACCTGTGTAGTCTTACCAATATGGCTCATAGTCTGTCCTTCCGCTACGGAGTTCTATTCGTGTTTACGATGAGCATGCTGGCATGCATGATCGTGGGCTATCGTGTTATGAAATGGTGAGTAATCCGTGGGTTGTATTACTTTCGATTTAAAAACTATCCTTCTGCAGCGATTCGAATAATCACATTTGTTATTTGTTAGGCATACGGATGATATTATTCGTAATCGTCAAGAAAAAAGGCGTTGATGGAACATATGTATAATGATTCAAACATATAATTGACCATTAAAATAAAACATGAATGATCCTACCAAAATAAGGAGGATCCACGCATTCTGATAATGATCCAAACAGATATTGTTGAGGAGCTAAAACAGCTGTGGACGAGGCCGAGAAACGGTTAATGGTGTAACCGTGTTATGATTTACCTAAACACGACGATACAGTGGTCTAACCGCATTATTATTTACCTAAACACGACGATACAGTGGTGTAACCGTGTTATGATTTACCTAAACACGATGTTACAGTGGTCTAACCGCATTATTATTTACCTAAACACGATGTTACAGTGGTCTAACCGTGTTATGATTTACCTAAACACGATGTTACAGTGGTCTAACCGTGTTATGATTTACCTAAACACGATGTTACAGTGGTCTAACCGCATTATTATTTACCTAAACACGATGTTACAGTGGTCTAACCGTGTTATGATTTACCTAAACACGATGTTACAGTGTGATAATCTTCTCTACCTACTTTATCATAATGATCCAAAAGGAGAAGTGATCGATTCAGACAACAAAGTGATACTTTATCTGTATCATTATACTGAGGTCACGTGGTCATTAATACACGCACCCGTGATCAACACTCGTTACTCAGCATTAAACTTGAAATTAAGGTTATTGATGGCATGCAATATAAACAGGAATACCTATGTTTGGACAAGAACAATTGTACAGATGACGTCATTTACTTATTTATTGATTTACTTAAGAGACTTAACAATCGCTAACTTACTGCCTGTCAGTCTTTCATTTGACGGCAGATATATGAAACTGAACAAAAAGGGAAAAGCGGTGAGTGAGAGTTGATAGTGGTATAGATGGAGTCGACTGTACCGGTGTTCCTATGACCTTATGCTGTAAAGCTCGACTCCGTGGCCTAACATTGTCCCAACTGAATTCTAACCACAGGTAACCAGTTTGAAAATCACACGAGAGGGAGGGACGTTTCTAATCTGTGATCATTTGGTATAATCTGTATTTTCGAAGTACTCGTTATTTCCTAATAATTATATCAACCTGTCTAAATCCTTTATATCTTTACCTGACCTCGGTGCCGACATTGATGAACACGCGCACTAATCATCGACATATGCGATGTAGTTATGCAGTGTATGATATATGTTGACTGTTACTTGTGTGTTACCACATAGTTTGTTTACCGGCGGTATAGTGGTTTCTATAATCTGCAGACATGTGAAAACTATATTACAAAGAATATTTCATCCTTTGTGTTGAGTACTTTTGTCAGGTTACTTTTCTTGTGATTTCCTTTATATATTAAACAAAAAACCCTGCCAACTTCAGTGTTATTGAATCCTAGTGTCCTTATTACAACTCATTGCTACAGCCAACCTTATATCAGCTGTTTTATTGCACACACGGGTGACCACGACCTAACATGACGTCACCGTTGCCCGTATGTAAAACAGATATTTAAATAACAAGGGATCCCGGCTTGTGTTATGGTTGGTCGTTAGTTACCGTGTCGAATGTCAATGGAATTCAAAGTTTGGTTAGCAACACGTTATTTGATTAAACGGTGTTAGCGAGATATATAGGTGTGATAAAACGAAACCATTTATAACTATAGCAACGTTTGTTAGAAATTTCTAATAATACCTGGTTAATATCCAAATTCATCATTCCTGATGGAGTAACATGAATCTGATAGATGTTAGCTTTTTCCATACACATAGCTGGTAGGTGGATATAACTGCTGGCTGAGAAGTGGAGCTATGCGTATGCCGGCAGATCCGAACAACTCCAGGCGGAGGTACGTGTGTCTGGATAGGTGTCGTCACAAGCTCAGCACAGCTGGGTTGTCAGATTATTCAAAGGAGTTCGGATTCATGGATTACATGTCAATTTGTTCATTTTCCTTGTCAATGCACTTTAAGACTGGACTAGAATGGCAACAGAAAGGTACTCTGACCACTGTTTACTCCATTTAGTTATCCTGTCGACATCTTTTCTCCTGTCTGTTGCCTATACAATATTCAGGTGGTAAGTAATTGGTCTCGCTCTCTTGGTCTGCTTAAATTTCACTTTTGAAAATATTTGTTCAAACTTGATGAATGATGTACGCTTGTGTATTTACATTTGCCATGTTTAATGATTTTACTTAGTAGCCGTTTAAAATGTTAATTTTAGTCTTTATGCCAATTTCACTATCATAAACTTAGGGAATGTGATTTTTTATGCATTCGTTTTTGACCTGTATGTAGAAGTGGCAACGGGTATCGGTTTCAATGATCTGCATATGAAAGACATCAGAAATAGCTTTACGTTTCCTATTTATGGAACCACTCAACTTCCTTGTTGGAATTCCAATATTAATTTTGTATTTGGAAAATAATAGCACGTGATTGTTTGAGAGAGAGAGATTGTAATGCCGGGGTGATCCTAACTGCTCCTCAACATGTTGGTACCAGCACTGATATTACTGGTTAGCTTTATTTGTCTTCTACTCTTAGGAATCTGGAGGGAGATATACACTTCTAGGTAATCGTTTAGGAAATTTTGTAAATATTCAGCATATAGTTATTGGTTTTGATGTTTTGTATTAATTCTGTATATTCATTGGTTTACTTTATTAAGATCACGAGCACACATCAAATTTTTGTTGTTTTTGTTACGGTACAGGATAGCAATACACGTGTATTTTGTGCATGTTTACAACCACCTAGCTGCCAAAATCTTGATGAGGCATCCTACATATCCTAGAGCCCAGAAAAGATTTTTTCTCTACGTTGAGATAGGAATTCTTGGATATAGAATACGCCTATTTCATTTATTTACCTGAATATTTAGGTCACCTGAGACAAAATCTCGGGGTGACCTATTGCGATGCTCTTTTGTCCTGCGTCGTGCGTTGTTCGTCGTGCGTCGTAAACTTTAACATTTTCGACTTCTTCTGGACAACACCTGAACCATGAAATGAAATTTTACATATATTTTCCATGGCTAAAGGCGCACCAAGTTGTAAATTATATAGTCCCCAGGGGCCTGAGGGGCGGCACCTAAAAGTGTCAAGTTGACTGAAACTTCAAAAATCCTCTTCTCAAATCCCAGGTATGATGGAATCAAATACTCTTCATGGACGGAAAGGCATTCAGGTGTCTAACCAAAATTGTAGATGTCATGACCCCGGTGTCTCACACTTTCCTATGGGGAGGGGATAAAGTTTACTATCGTTTTCATAGGAAAAATACATTTTTGAACATCATTAGTTTATTTTCTTTTAGAAATACTTCAAACTTGGCTAGAATTATCAGTTTAAGTTTATCAATTTGATGAGATGCACATATTGACCTAGTTTTATCTCCAGAGGGAGATAGGCGATTCCAAATATGGGTCAAATTGACTGAAATTTCAAAGATGTTCTACTTTTCATAGATGGAAGATTTTTTAGTGTAAATTTTTTTTTATTCAAACTTGGTTAGAAGCTTTAGCCCAGGACATCAGTTTACATATGCATTATGTGATCAATGCAGTTAAAGTTCCTACTTTTTATGACAAAATCATTGCTATGACGTGTTACAAGAAGCATTATAACTCAGGTGACCGTTAAGAACCTTGGACCTCTTGTGATAACACAAAGGAGTTTTGGTTGTTGCAAAATTCATTTCAGAGTTTTTAGGATATGTATGCAAACTTGGAAAGGAAAACATCGCCTTTTTACCGTAGTTCAACCGTTATTTACGGCCAGTATCCGAGGTTTATCTGTTGTGAGTATTTGCGGCTAGTATCCGAGGTTTATCTGTTGTGAGTATTTACGGCTAGTATCCGAGGTTTATCTGTTTTGAGTATTTGTTTCTCTATAGTTTGGAATTGAAAATAGCGACTGAAGTTCTAAACAAAACCATATGTCTTTTTCATATATTTTAAATGGAAAAAATGGAACACCAACATACAATGCTGCTAGAGAGACTTTTATCTCGGTTTGATTGAGATTGTTTGATATAACGAGTGGTACGGACACGAACTCATGAAATAGTTATAACAGGTATTGGTTTGATCTTTGTCTTACTCTTTGTTAAATGATATTAAGTCGTCAAACAATGCGTGATTGCCCTGTTGATACACATAAAGTACAGTTATAATATAATTACACATACAAGCAAGCAAACCTTCTATTCAAAATGACATTTAAACTGCCAGGTAATCTCAAAATTAGTACTACAGGCAATTTTGAACACGTGAAGAGCTCATGCAGTGTTTAAATGTCCAAAGTCTTCAGGTCGTCGACCACGTTACTTATGTCAAGTTCAATTACATGTAGTATAGGGTTCTCCCGTCCGGACGGACAGATGGATGCCAAGTCAGTGTTATATGGTTTTAACACTGTAAGCTGCGTCTTCGTGTTGCTTGTGTGTCATACCATTATCCGCTCTGTCCTGTAAGTCTCAATATTCCTTATTTTGAAAATTGATATTTGACATGTGTGTGCTATCACGATGCAAATAATTTGTATGTATCCCTTCAATTCTGCTGTCAGTTTATATAGATACCAAATGCTTTAAAGCTGGCATACACGACATAGTTATTATCAATGTGGAGATGACTTCAAATTAATGTATTTAAGTCTTGGAATTTATCATGATAGAGAAACGTGAGTTCGGTTTAATTTGAATTATCTGGAAGATATATGTCAGTATTTGTAAAGATGTAACATGAGCTGATCTATAGACTTTCATCCTGAAAGTCATCAACCACAACACTGATTATCTAACATAATAGAATGGCTATGCTTATTAACAGATACTCGACACCTACCCCGTAGGTGTAACTCCTACAGGTGAAATGGCAGCATTGACGGACTGTGCCCTTGTATACGCGCAAGCTTGGCAGTGCGTTCGGTCAAACTGTAGTAAAAATATATTTCTTTTCTACGGAAGCGTAATTCTTGTCTTGATCTTTTGAGTGTATTAATAAGAATATACAAGTATCTGTCGTTGAGGAACGTTGATTTTATTTCTATAGAATAAACTATTTTAAAACTAGTTTTTATGGTTGGGGTGTTACAAAACTAGGACATTCTTTGGGGTGAAATACAATAATGATATCTATTTGTTTGACTGATATGTCAGATTAAAAAAAAAACTTTTTGCGGAGATTTGTCGAACACTTTTAAATATAATTGTATTTGTAAGAAATATCAGGTTTTACCGCACCAGCGTATTTATTCGTCATAGACGTAGTCTTAATTGAATGTACTTTTATATATGGCTACAAGTGTCAAGCATTTGATTCTTCTGATCAAATCAAATAACAACCAACATTACATGTAGAATGATTCCTCTACAATGTTTGCCGTGATCAACAAACAAAACACTGTAAGCATGATTGATTTACTGAAACAATGTTCAAGCTGGCATTTACATCAACATCAGTCCAGTTTTTCTTCAATGATCCTCATTTTACCTACATCAACATATGTGAAATTACATATTCTTATGCAATGACATACGCGTTATTTTTAGACTGCGTGTAATACAAATGTGCTGTGAACCGAAAGTAACGATGGCCCGAAGCCAACTTGAATTTCCCGAACAATATATAATATATGCCTATTGAGGCTGTCAGCTGTTCGGCTGTTTATGTGTTGGATATATCACATTTAGTTTGTCGATTTCAAGGTGAAGTGAGGCTATGTTTTGTTTACATTGTGAAGACCCGAATTACAATCTACTGACCGAGTCTTTGGTATTGGCCGTGTTTACTGTGTACTTCATAATCCAGTTGTAAGTTTAACATTTCCGCAATATCAGTCAACTTTATCGAAAGTGTTTCATGATGTATGTCGGCCATCTTAATATTTTATATGTAAATTATTTCTCATTAACGAGCACAGACCGCAATCATTCAACTATGGAATCATATTGTTATGGAAGTATGAATACTATTATAGCGTTATGTAGCTTACACGTTAAGTTTGTGTAAATGTTAAAAACCTAGAAAATGTTGCAAACAAGTATGGCTTAGTTTTGATGAGGAGTGTGGATGTTGATGGTGTGAACTGAAGGGAAATGGAAAATTTATGTAAACTGAATGATAAGGTTTTCTATGTTTACAAAGGGACGTTAATGGTTATCATATAGTAGTGAACAATTATAAGACCACTCCATTTAGACATAAACAGTGTACACTGTAAAACCTAAGCGTTCATCAAAAATTTAAATAATCCGTTCAACATTAAATTATTAGATGTGAATATTAGTAAAAACTAATTCCAATTATCACATACAATTTCATCATTTATATATCATCACATACAATTTCATCACTTATGTATGATCACATACAGTGTCATCGCTTACATATCATAAAACCTTGAACATGAACTAAGAAATACAACATGCACTACTACTGGTCTTGAAAACACAACTACAAAAGCAATCTGATGTGGATGGTTCAAACTAGTTTTCGACTTTTGTCGAAAGAAATGACAAGAAAAGAGTTGATAAATATAAATTGTGTCCATTTTAAAGTTTTTTCTCTCAAAATACAAAAAATGATATTTTCTACATTACGATGATGTAAAATGATCTAAGTGTACATAGAGATTAAACTGAAGAAAAGAAATTCCTATACAGTGAATTGTGTATGTAGAATCATATAATGTCGCCAATGAATTTACTCACATGATTGTGTTAATGCAAAACTTATTTAACACGCGGCTCTACTCTCGGTTGACAGTTGGAGAGTTTTGGTAAACATGAAACCAGTTACATGGATGCACATTCAATAATGATCTGGGGGATAAATATTTGTGAAAGTTGTCTAATCAATTATTATATTTTTCTCTTTGAAGGTCCCAGGGAGCAGAATTCTCAAAAGGAGATATAATCTTCATAGCTGTCGTGATTGGAGCATGCGTCGTCGCCATTATCATCACTATCGTTTGCCATCTAGCGTGTCGGAGACGAAGCAGCAAAGGGGTAGGTACAAAGTGTAGAAGTATTTTAAAATAAATATATACAAGAAGGGAAATTACTCGGTAAAACGTTTCGATCCCATATTTTCAATATATAGATCACAAGATATATGAAGTGTTGGCAATACGGATTAAAATGTTGACAATATTTTATCGTATGGCCAGCAGTAAAAGTAATGTCATTCATTCATATTAAACGGATATTAAAGAGTGAATGACACAGTTAATTCTTTCATTTTGTTACACTTGTCATTCTGTAATCTAATTTGCGGTTATTTTTTTTCAGAATCAAGCCAGTCTGCTTGGCATCTGCTGTTGCTACGATAATAATGTGAACAGTCGGTTCAAAGTTGTCAGCCAAAAAATGGGTATGTATAGAGAGAAAAACATGTACATTCCTTGATAACTTCCCTAATAAGCCTTCATACTTTGCTGTTCACAACTTTTTACAAGGTATATATCGATTTGTTAAGGGAATCTCACCAGGTACGAGTTGACTTATCATGAGTAATCCATTTACAATGTTATACACTTTGATATAAACAAACTGGTTAATGTAATACATATGTGACACATGCCAGGTATCTGAATTCCCGGATGTTGAATTTCCTATAGCCTCTCGGTGTTAAGGCACAACAAAATATCTCCTGTTTCCAGTAATCCTATCTACCGAAATACATTGTTTGTCCTAAACTATTCTAGTATTTTCGCAGAAGCACTGTAAAATCGTAAAAGTCCAGATGTCTCTCCTATATATTTTAACTCTATCCTAAAGTTTTTCAATAACATTTTTGTTTATTTGTCAACAGGCTCCGATTGTGCAATTTGCCTAGAGGAGAAAAACATGATGATTAAGCCAGTTGTCGAAATAACATGTAAACACAGTAAGTTATTATTTAATTATTTTGTCGTCGAAATAACTTGTAAAAACATCAATATATTATTCATTTGGTTATTCTGTTTTAACTGTATTCTTGGCCGTTGTAGTTTGATATGTAATGATATATAGTACTATTATATCCTTGTGAGGAAACGGTAAAATGCTTTAGATTGAGTAGTAGATTTGTGAAAAAGAAAACCATAAAATTGTTCATTGATTATACACAAAAAATAGTCCTGAACAACAAAATATATCTACGTAATATAAATGTTTATCTGCTATTGCAAACAGAAATGTATAGTATTTCAATGATATTAATATAATTGTTTTCCAATCGTCATTTCATATCTTGTACGTGTAATTTAGCTCGTGATGAGTAAATTTTGCAAGCTAAAGAAATGTTGAACAACATTATAACAACCGTTTATTTTACTTGAATGGGTGATCTGATTTTTAAGGACGAGTATGCAGGATGGCTTTCACAAGTTAACCTCTGCTTTAACGGTCTTTTACAAACACACGTTTATGGTGTTGTTGCAGCATATCATCAGGCTTGTATCAGTAAATGTCTCGAAATGGACAAGAGAGCCAAATGTCCACAGTGTCGACGACAGCCAGGACAATTCTCAACTACTGAACGATTCATCGCAATCATCCAGACGCTTATGACGAAGAGAAAGGAGAGAACACTCGAGGCTAAGGCAAGCAGATATCGGCAAGCAGAGGAAGAAGAAAAAATGGCTCCAGGATACACAGGTTAGCGTTAAATATAACTGCATGTATTATAAACGATTGCTTCACAAATGGATATATAACACGTAGTAAGTGAAACCTTCGAAATTATTCTCCAATTCTGTCTTTATGATTCCCTAGGTTGTAGAGTCAAAACAGTTTTAGAAATCCAACGTATTTCTTTACAGATTAATATGTCAAAATTTCATTGATATGTTCATTTTCAGATTTACCCGAATGCAGCGGTTACACTCCTCCACCGATTCCTCCCGAGGCGATTGTTTGAGGGCGTAAAGCTAAACGACCTGGTGCTTGAGAACATTTATACTTCTAGTATTCGCTGAGGACTTAAAACAAAGAGGTTTCCTGCCCATCATTGCCAGGGCCAACGTTGATTATCACGGAATTATTTTTCATACTTTCATATCCTTTATTGATGATAACAGAAATGGTCTTGTTCTTCATGGTGACTGCCTATAATTTCTAGACGTGTTTGACTTCCTGGTGTTAAAGCGGCACGAGAAACCGTAAATAGATCTGAAAAAAACATCTATGTGTTACATGTCTGCAAATATACAGGAATATACGGTGGTGTTGCCCTGGTCACGTGATGTAAGCGTGAGTTATAAAGAACAGTCATCCGATCACAGACAGTTTAATCCACTATGTAATAGTGGAATCATTGGATTGGAACAGAATTTGTATAAATATGCTTAATATGTAGTCTGCTGTTTCATCAATGGTGAAGTTTCTTTGCTGTATTAGATTAAACGGTTAGATATTCTGATTACATATAAATGCATTTGTCATACACATATCACTTTGCAAGTTAAAAATATGTTAATACTCATTTGAAACTTACCATTTCAGAATCATGCCTTTATATTGTAACAACATATATATCATCGAAATTAGGAAGAAGCATCAGATGGTTGTTATTTTACTCAAAATGGTATTCATCGAACAAGTGTGGGGAAAAAATCAAGATAGTGAAAGAAATGTCTCATATTGTCACTATCTCTGATAGATTTAAAACAATTTTATGTCGGATATGTTGGAACCTGGGTTATATACCCTTTGTATACAAGACAATGGGTTGTGCAATATGTGGATGTCAAGAGAATAGGTAAATGAGAATGAGATGTTGATTTGTAGATACCGTTCATTCATTTTGATCGAAACATATATAAGAGAACTTTTATTGAGAAATCAAAGAACTCGCTAACATGCATTCAGATAAATGTATTGAGATATCAATCCGTTTGTAATTTAAAATGTTTATTTTCGAAAGGTGAGTTGTTACTTTAATTCGAATGAAAGTTGTGTCTTGAGAATGTGTCTACCCGTGTGTAATTGTTAAAGTATGAAAGAAATTGATATATTCCAAAAATACTTGTGTGTAGTTTTGGTTTTATGGTCATCAGTTAAAGAAACGAAAATGCTATTTTTTTTACACTATTTTAAAAGATGAAATTGCATTTCTCCCCACATTTACATTATAATTTTAAACATAAAAATAAAAATAGAAATTAGATAAAAATTACTGCCAATATATTTTAAGCCAAATATAATAAAATGGTGATTTGTTCCAATTGTCCTTCCTCCGTCGTCCGCCCGTCCATGATTGGTGTAACTATTTCTTGATAAGTACTGAATGGATCAGTCTCAAATTCCATGTGTAGTTTGACACTGTTATGAACTTCTGTATGTTACATTTTGTAGGCGACCAATTTGCACTATGACCTTTTTTTTACTACAATTTGATGAGAATAACATGACCAATCATTCTTAAATTCACTCGTAGTTTGCAAGGTCGTATTTAAACAAAATAGAAATCAACATGGCCGACATTGGTCGTCTTTAATTTGGCTATTTATAGATTGTTATCACTATATTTGGAATTACTTAATGTATCGTTTTCAAATTCCATACGTAGTTCTCCAGTACAATAATTATGCCTGCTAAATTTATCATTACAGGATACCTCAATATCTCAAATTTAATGCGGGCAGACCAGGAAAACGGACAAATAAGTTAAATAATAAAAGACAGGGGGCTTTCTTTGTTACTATCGATTGTAGTTTGTTATCTCTATTTCTTGCTAAGTTGTTTATGGATTGTTCGGAAAGTTCATATGTAGGTCCCCCGTATATCAGTTTCCCTTGCAAAATTGTGTCACCGAATGCTTTACCTCACGTGTCAATACAACAGGTTGTTAACAGTGAATGAAGAGACACTGATCCAACCAATAGCGATAATAAAGTGACGCCAAGATTTCTCTGGGAATGATGTCTTATCCTAAATGGCAAAACATATATCTTTGGTAAATTGTTTGGTCCGCAATTTAAATGATGATTAAACCAAAATTTCACTTCCCCGTCAGTCTTTCTGTGTAAACTTGTGTGATGAGAGACGTATGTGTTGTTAATGTATATGTATGTTTTGGAAGTCTTGTGGTTAATAGAAATGAAGGTATTATAGAAATACGTGGCCTTAAACCTTAGTCTGAACGGATAAAGTATATACATTGATATTTATGTCAATGAAAATACCCTTTATGTCACCCTTTAAAGTTCACTGTTACTTAAACATTCTACAGGAGATTACCTTTGTTTCGTTTTCTAAATTAATATTCGCGTGCTGGAATACTATAACAAATAACGTATTAAAATACGTATTATTTATTTCTTTTAAGGATTTTGTTGATATCATGTATTTTGCTGTAAATAATAACGGGAGATTCGTCCTCGAATCACAGCTACTGCTCATAATTTAAAAAAATGACGAAGTGTATATCACAGTTATTTGCGAAAACAAACTATATCTGATAGTATATAACGCGTAAAGGGAGGTAACCTGAGTACCTGGGAAAACCACTTCGGTTGAACAGGTAACCCATACGAAAGGCGACAGCGTTGGTACCGCGGTACCACTTTTCAAACGCCGCAATAATATCAGCCTCTTTCCTTTAGGTTTTATTTTCTCTCGCTACTGCTTCCATACAAAGATTGCCAATATCTTGCTAACCAAATTTCAACACTGGACACGTTTTTTTGTTTCTATTTCGGTCCTTTCCTCCCCGTTCCACCGTCACTGTCTTCAAATATACTTGGCTGCTGTGGGGACTTTAAATCCGAAACAATGCCATATTAGTGAAATTGTTGGTAAGGAGGGATTTTGCAGCACGATAAATTACTTTTAATCAAAATATTATGTTTTGGCAGCCTTACCTTCTGTTTCAAAGTCGATTTCTGTTTCCAGGTAATTAGTAGTTTAAATAGTAAGGTAAGGAAATACTCCTTAGAGTTTACTTGATCTGTAAGGAGGCATTCCCGTTACCACAGGTATTATATATATGTATATAACATGAACGTTTATTTTCGTGTTATTTTTCCTATCAATTTTCCTCAATGTTGTCTTAATGTATACAGATTTCCTATTTAATTCACGTTTCATTATGACCTGAATGTTTTTCATCTTTCATCGTTTCATAAATTTTGTACAATGTAATAATTGTGATATTGCTTATTTTTTAATAAATCATGTTCCATTTTATATTACTGTTGTATGTTCACAGAAAATAAATAAAACAATGTCAAACATTGATGTTTTTCTGTTTTCTTTCTGTTGTAAAGTTTAACACTTTGTGTGGTTTATAAAGCGGAAATAATTCCTGTCCGGGCATCAAATAAGACAACACTAAATTTTGGCAACATAAAATGCAACATCTTACGACAAAATATTAACGAAATGTCAACAGAACCTTAAGACTCAAATTCGGTGAAACTTTGGTGAAACATCGGTACTTGTGTTTTTTTTTAATTCTTCTCAGAAAATAAGTCTTGATGAACTGTTAATACAAGACAAAAACTGAAGATATGAAGAATTAGGAATTGGTGAGCTAGACTTGAAACCATTGGGTTTCGTGGAATATAAATGGGATCATAGGATTTCGTGAAACATAGAATAACAGGAAAACTGTATACTTGGTATTAGTGTATGATGAACCAAATGACACTAATATTTCCTGTATAGTTTTACCTATTTCCTATAGTTTGGGTTAACATGAGAGTTGACAAGACACATTAAGACGTGATGAACTGGAGGAAAGACAAAAATATGTGAGGAACTTTCCATATAACTAACAAAGGGTTTGATAGACTTAAATATGTCACAAGGGTTTGGTGAACATATGAAACACTAAGGTTTGGTGGACATATGATACACTAAGGTTTGGTGGACATATGATACACTAAGGTTTGATGGACATATGATACAATAAGGTTTGATGGACATATGATACAATAAGGTTTGATGGACAAATGATACAATTAAGGTTTGGTGGACATATGATACACTAAGGTTTGATGGATATATAAAACACTAAGGTTTGATGGACATATGATACACTAAGGTTTGATGGATATATAAAACACTAAGGTTTGATGGACATATGATACACTAAGGTTTGATGGACATATGATACACTAAGGTTTGATGGACATATGATACACTAAGGTTTGATGGACATATGATACACTAAGGTTTGATGGACATATGATACACTAAGGTTTGATGGACATATGATACACTAAGGTTTGATGGATATATAAAACACTAAGGTTTGATGGACATATGATACACTAAGGTTTGATGGACATATGATACACTAAGGTTTGGTGGACATATGATACACTAAGGTTTGATGGATATATAAAACACTAAGGTTTGATGGACATATGATACAATAAGGTTTGATGGACATATGATACACTAAGGTTTGATGGACATATGATACACTAAGGTTTGATGGACATATGATACAATAAGGTTTGATGGACATATGATACACTAAGGTTTGATGGACATATGAAACACTAAGGTTTGATGGACATATGATACACTAAGGTCTGATGGATATATAAAACACTAAGGTTTGATGGACATATGATACACTAAGGTTTGATGGACATATGATACACTAAGGTTTGGTGGACATATGATACACTAAGATTTGATAGACAAATGATACAATTAAGGTTTGGTGGACATATGATACACTAAGGTTTGATGGACATATGATACACTAAGGTTTGATGGACATATGATACACTAAGGTTTGATGGATATATAAAACACTAAGGTTTGGTGGACATATGATACACTAAGGTTTGATGGACATATGGTACACTAAGGTTTGATGGATATATGATACACTAAGGTTTGATGGACATATGATACACTAAGGTTTGGTGGACATATGATACACTAAGGTTTGATGGACATATGATACACTAAGGTTTGATGGACATATGATACACTAAGGTTTGATGGATATATAAAACACTAAGGTTTGATGGACATATGATACAATAAGGTTTGATGGACATATGATACACTAAGGTTTGATGGACATATGATACACTAAGGTTTGATGGATATATAAAACACTAAGGTTTGATGGACATATGATACACTAAGGTTTGATGGACATATGATACACAAAGGTTTGATGGACATATGAAACACTAAGGTTTGATGGATATATAAAACACTAAGGTTTGATGGACATATGATACACTAAGGTTTGATGGACATATGATACACTAAGGTTTGATGGACATATGATACACTAAGGTTTGGTGGACATATGATACACTAAGGTTTGATGGACATATGATACACTAAGGTTTGATGGACATATGATACAATAAGGTTTGATGGATATATAAAACACTAAGGTTTGGTGGATATATGATACACTAAGATTTGATGGATATATGATACACTAAGGTTTGATGGACATATGATACACTAAGGTTTGGTGGATATATGATACACTAAGGTTTGATGGATATATAAAACACTAAGGTTTGATGGATATATAAAACACTAAGGTTTGATGGATATATAAAACACTAAGGTTTGATGGATATATATGATACACTAAGGTTTGATGGATATATAAAACACTAAGGTTTGATGGATATATAAAACACTAAGGTTTGATGGATATATAAAACACTAAGGTTTGATGGACATATGATACACTAAGGTTTGATGGACATATGATACACTAAGGTTTGATGGATATATAAAACACTAAGGTTTGATGGTTATATAAAACACTAAGGTTTGATGGACATATGATACAATAAGGTTTGATGGACATATGATACACTAAGGTTTGATGGACATATGATACACTAAGGTTTGATGGATATATAAAACACTAAGGTTTGATGGATATATGATACACTAAGGTTTGATGGACATATGATACACTAAGGTTTGATGGACATATGATACACTAAGGTTTGATGGACATATGATACACTAAGGTTTGATGGACATATGATACACTAAGGTTTGATGGACATATGATACACTAAGGTTTGATGGACATATGATACACTAAGGTTTGGTGGACATATGATACACTATGGTTTGATGGATATATGATACACTAAGGTTTGATGGATATATAAAACACTAAGGTTTGATGGATATATAAAACACTAAGGTTTGATGGACATATAAAACACTAAGGTTTGATGGATATATAAAACACTAAGGTTTGATGGATATATAAAACACTAAGGTTTGATGGACATATGATACACTAAGGTTTGGTGGACATATGATACACTAAGGTTTGATGGATATATAAAACACTAAGGTTTGATGGACATATGATACACTAAGGTTTGGTGGACTTAGAACGATAGGGTTTTGTATACTTGACACGATGCACTAGGGTTTGATGGACTTAGTATGATACACGAAAGTCCAAAGGCAAAAAGTAACAAACACCTACAACTTCATACGACAGGAAGTGGAATATTAAAAAATGTAATCATTATGACGACCTTAAAAAAATCCCCATACTCTTCATTAACAAGCCTCTTTCAAATTCATTTGTTGTGAATCTAGACAACCTGCACGATATATATGATACTGGTTACACACCCTTTAACATTGAATCAACCATAAACACCTAAGGATAGTTGTTTTATTGGATATCTTATCAGTTATAAGTAGGGATATAACGTTTTAAAAATCATGTAAAAGCAAGTGCCATATTGTTTCGTACTTTTAAATAAAACGCAAAGACATACGTGGAAATATAATGACGGATTCACGTTCTATAAATAGAATAAGTACGTCTATTAATTCATCATTATTATTAAATCCACTTTACCGCATATTACCTAAATCTATTTGAGTTAGATATCGATAAACTTGTCAAGACAGCGCTATCACAGTATTTTTCCACAGTTGGTCTTACATCAGTGATTTAAATAACATTTTCTGAAATAAGTATAATGACATGAAGCTATTTTTAGATTTTCAGACATACTAACAAAATCCATTTGAGTTAAATATAAATAACCTGTCCAAAATATCCCTAACACAGTATTTTTTCATATTCCTTGTTTGTCTTACGTTCATAAATAATGTACAATGACATGAAGGTATTTCAGTAATATTTTCAGTGATACAAACATATTGAGAAACGAAAGTAAAAGATGACTCACACTGCCAACACAGGATTTCCCTACAAACATCAATTGGTTCGTATGAGTATGCTTTTATTCCTTAGGAGGTAGTAATAAATTGCTGGTATTTCAAGTGTAAACATTGGGTATATCACACTCACAGTATGGCGAATTCAACCGGGAGAGAAGATATACATTACTTTCGATGTGAAGACCAGACTGCTTTCAGGATGTGGATACTTACTGAGTCTATGACGTTCACTGTATTTACCTTATACACTATAATACAATTGTAAGTATAACATTTTAGCAATGTCGTGCTAGTGTCTATATCAAATTTATTTTTGTGACTGACTTACATTGAAATATCTTATATGTTGTTAATCGTACACAAGGGGTGCAGGCCGCCTTGAACTATATGCATATTAGAAACACTGCAGTAGTATGACAGTTCAATTATCATGTACAATGTTTAGGTAGTTTATATTAGACTACAATCTCTTTCAACGACTTATAAACAGAATATGGATGTTAACAAGTTGACGGTTATCATTAAGTGCAATATATATATATATGAGTAATGTAATTATGATACATCTTATATGTTACTTTGGTATTTTGTAACTATTTAATCATTATTATGCTTATGTTATAACAATCACTATTGCAAAAATGATGTACTTCAATGTTCCGATGTGATTTTGGAACGACTTAATTACTATAATAATCCTAATGTTATAATATCTTGGTAATAATTTTGATTTGTATGCAAATTCAGCGTTCTCTTTCACTAAATTAATGTTGTTCTTTTTGTGAAATCTTCTTAAAGGAGGAAATAAAGAGAATAATAAAGAGGACGTGTTGACTTTAGATAGTGAATGTCAGATATCAGGTACTATTATCCACTAATAACAAGTGACAAATATATTTCACATGTTGATAGTCCGTAATCAAACCGGAATGCAACGAGTTATCACCAAATAGGAAGGATTGTACACCCCTGATCAACATGACCTTTTTTAATGACTGACGACTTTTTAGTGTAACATTTTCTATGTGGGAGGGATCCCTGTGTTCAGATACAGTAAAATTAGGATTGGTGTGGTGTGTTTCAAGATTTCATAAAAACAATGTGTTGTTACCGATAGCCAAACAAGCAAAAGAGGCTTGCGGGGAGATGGAAATGAAGACGAAAGTGAGATTTTATTGAAGTCTTCAAAAACCAACCAAACAAACAAAACAAAACTCGAATAATGAGATCGATGTTGCATTGACTGACACAGTAAGCAGCTTTGATAAGGTAAAGTGTAAGTAGTATTTACAGAAAGTCACACGGTGGTTTAGTGCGTATAAGATATCTTATTAAACAAACAAACAGGGGCTGTTATAGTGCAGAAGACACATTACTAGAAGACAACTTCATCGCATTTTCTTGTGTTCAAGGAACGATCCCACAGGAGCCTCATGACATTGGCTCTGGTAATACAGATAGCGATACAGGTACAAACACGTAATGATAACTTAGCATTGATAATTAACATGGCAGATGACATCGAAAGCCAACATGAAGTAATAACAGAGAATCAAATTAAAGACACGAAATAGTTTCTATTAACAACACTCGCCTGTATAATTCAAATGCAGAACTTAAACGCGGAAACGATGAAAACATATTCAAGTGGCGAAACACATTCACTGGGTGAAATTACGGAAAAAGGGACATTTACAATACGGAGAACGACATTTTTAACTCCGAGAGTAGTAAACGCACATATTAAACACAAACCATTCCAAATTTGGTTATGAAGCGCAATCATGTCGTAGCTCAAGCCGGAACTCGCAAAACAGCTATCTCAAAATTTCACGTTGCTATCTCGAAATTTCGAGATAAAATAAAATACAACGTGGCCGGAATACGCTTCCGTATGCTTGCATTCATGAACAATAAAAATAAATCATTCAAGCCGGTGGGATCGATAGTTTATTATTATGACAAAAAATCAGTATCCATTGATGTCTTAGAAATATCGCTTATGCTTTATTTCCAGGTCCAAGGGGGCAGACTTCTCAAACGGAGATATTCTCTTCATTTCTATTGTTATTGGAGTATGTATCGTCGGCATCATCATCACCACTGTCTGTCATCTACATTATCGGAAGATACGAAGTAATAAAGAGGTACGTTCATGGGGGAATGTGAGAGCGATAACAAAAAGTATCGACCTGTTACTGGAATTATAATTTAAACAAAAATTCTATAAAACTAGAATATTTACACAGAGATTCCAAAAAGATAGGGATATTATGTGTTTCGGAAGGATAAGTAAGTACTGTCACTCTCTAAGTGAGAAAAAGGTAAGCGACATTGGAACTACCAGGTTATAGCACACAACGAAATCATGCAATGTGACTGATGACTTTTTTCATCATAATTTTCATTAACCTGCATATAAAAATGTTGTCAACCAGAAACTCGATCATTTTGACGTTCATGCTTTCTGCTAATAAAACAGAATTAAAACCATGGCTTAGTTTGTCTTTTGGGACACTCATTCCTAAATTTGTTAACATGATGATTATTTGAAGCGGTCATATGATACTAGACTTCGGAAGTCATGTGAGATGTCACTAGACCTTGATTTACATTATTTGCTAGATTTACTATCCTTGCAATAATATATGTGCTATTAATGTCCATTTTGATAGACATGTAGCATGAGTAGATAGAGGGCACACCAGATTGCTAAACGGGTCAAAGATCAGACGATCTGATGGTGATGAAAATCCCCTCAGAGACTGCTAATTAGATTCAGATGAAACTTTGCTTAAATATTGGCGTTAGTCTGAGAATTTGAAAAATGCTTGTTGAAATTTTAAATAGAATAAAAAACATGTATTATGAAGAATTACTATGATTGCTGGCATTATATCATTTAGTTTTAGGGTCATCATAGATATTTGAAGTAAATCTATTTTACACATGTGATAAATAGGTCAAGTGTTTTAAAACTGCGATGATGTAATTCGAACTTGTTTAAAGTGAATGACATTTGTTTAGGTTGTTGAACACACGATACTGTATCATGATATCTGTAGGTTTTTGTTTTCAGAATAAAGCAACCTTACGTAGCATCTGCTTTTGCTGTGATTGTAATGTGAACAGCCGACTTAAAGTTGTCAGCAGAAAAATGGGTAAGCGCAGCAGGAAGAAAAAACAACTTTGACAGGCTACTTACTTCTTCAATCTTTTTCTCATTTCACTGTTCATGACCTTAATCATTACCGATGATTTTTAAGTTTTAAATTAAGGATAACTTATATATTGTTATCAATTTTTTTATGTTTATCAACTTATTGAATATCAAATGATCTTGTAATCGAAATATGTTATTTCGCAAATATTCATTTTAAACAAAATGTGACATGTTGTGAAATGTTATTTCTGACATCCTTTCCGTATTGATTTATCTATGTTCATTGTGTATATAATAGGTAACAATATTAACATAACTCTATGTTTATGTCTTAACAGGCTCCGATTGTGCAATTTGTTTAGAGGAGAAAAATATGATGATTAAGCCAGTTGTCGAAATAACATGTAAACACAGTAAGTTATAATTTAATTATTTTGTCGTGGAAATAACTTATAATCACAGTAAAATATTAATAAGTTGATTATTTAGTTTTTTAAACAACTTATCACAGTCACATATTAATTATTCGATTATTTTGTCGTCGAATCGACTTGTAACCACATTGATATATGAATTATGTGATTATTTACATGTAGGTTAATACTTTATTGTTCATCCTGTACGGGGTACTTACACTTGATTATTAAAAGTATGGTTAACAGGATTGACAAGTTTTGTGTAATGATTCGTAAGCATTGTTCTACAGTTATTGACTTACATATAACAGTGTATATTTTATATGTGTAATTTCACGCAGTATGTCAAATAGTCTACACATCGTTAATTCAATAAGCTTAAGTGATACAGATAATTCATGTAAAGAAATAAATCATTGATAGATCGATGCTCTACAAAAAACAAAAGTTACGTATAGAAATATTCTATTTAATCATTGTTGATATGCAATTTTAATTATTAATTATTAATTTTGGTTAGCAAACATTTTTATCGTTGCAATACACTTAAACATACAACAGAAACAAGGGGTTGCCTATCGATGACTTTTAAGAAATATATCTGCTGAAACAATAATTAACAAAATATTATTTATGGCGATATTACAGCGTATCATCAGGCTTGTATCAGTAAATGTCTCGAGATGGACAAGAGAGCCAAATGTCCACAGTGTCGACGACAGCCAGGACATTTCTCAACTACTGAACGATTCATCGCAATCATCCAGACGCTTATGACGAAGAGAAAGGAGAGAACACTGGAGGCTAAGGCAAGCAAACATTACCAAGCCAAGGAGGATGAAAAAATGGCTCCAGAATTCACAGGTTAGATTGTAGCAAAAATAAAAGCATTGCATATTAAAGTATTGACTCACATATGGCTATTCAACAGCTAATAATTGAAATCCTCGAAAACCCTTAAAATCCTATTTTTGTGTTACCTGAGGCAAAAAAGTGAAAATAGTTTTATAATCTTTAAACCTATTGCAATGAAACTACACTGGAATGTTACGGACATTTGTAAATGTGCATTCAGGTTTGTTTATCAGCAGAAAATATGGTTGCTATATGGTAACCGGATGTTTGTATCATGGTATACATCTTATAATTCCTTTCATCAATTTCAATGAAACTTGGTCAAGTGTTGTATCTTATCAAAACATTCAATATTTGACATATCAAATTTTTACAGAACGGTTGCTATGGAAAGTAAATGGAGGCTTGCGATTGCTCAACATTAATATTTTGTCCAATTATGTCGATATTTCAATGATTTAAAGAATGCTTATATTACAATTGTACTATTTTCAAAAAATATATCACGCCATTTGATTGTCATGCTAAATCAAATAAGACCAGTGGTTAGACGGACCTTGTCCAGACTTCTCCTTAACTTCGATGAAACGACGCGGGTGCTGTGTAGATGTGCATGAAGTCAGTACATTTTTTTGTTAATTAGAAATAAATATTTGATAATTGATGTCTTTATTTTCAGATATAACAGAGTACAGCGGTTACACTCCTCCAACGATTCCTCCCGAGGCGATTGTTTGAGGGCGTAAAGCTAAACCTACGTAATACTGGAGAACATTTTCCACTTATATTATTTGCTGAAGCCTTCAAACAAAAAGTTTCCTGATCTTCGTTTGTCAATGATGATTTTCACTGACATAATTTTGATGTTCATGGCTTTAAATGATATGAACACCACTGGTCTTCTTCGTCATGGTGACTACCAAATATTTCTAGACATGTTTAAATTCCTTGTGTTTTAGCAACGCGAGAAAGTTAAGAAGATTAGAAAAAATATCATCAACTTGCTATATGTTAACTTGTTACAATCTACAGGTGCCAGACTTGTTGATGTGATGTGGGCGAAAGTAAGGACATCACAGACAATCGTTACGTTATGTAATATTGTGATGTAATGTCATTGGTCAAATCGTTTGTGTGAAACAGAGTTTGTATAAATGTGCTCAATATGTCCGCTACTCTTTTTATATGATAAAGTATGAGTACTTTTGTTGAACTAAATTAATCTTTTTAAAAAATAAAAATTTAAAGGTTGAGAAAATGTTATTCAATTTACAATTGCCATTACAGAATAATGATTTTATCATATCTATGTCCAGTAACAACAGGATATCGATCGAAATTAAGATAAGATTCTGCGTGTTGTTATTATTTTCAAATGATATAGGCTATTTATAATTTGTGTAATTAGTCAACTAAAAAGAAAGATGTCGGTTGAAGATATGTTTAAACCTTGGTTATATACCATTTTAATACAATAAAAGACAATGGGTTGTGCAAGATATGTGTGCCATGAATAAAATGGCCCATACCTCTATACCTCGAATGTCTGAGTAATGTAACAAAATAGACAAAGTTTATACGTTTCAAAAATGTTTGTGTGTATCTTGGTTGGGTTAACATCAATAAAAATGACGAAATGCCAAATTTGTTCGACTTACTTACTTACTTGTAAAAAATAAGATAGTTTTTCTCCCCACAAATACAACAAAAATGAGTTTGAAGCATGTACTGACAACGATTTCCTTTACTTTTTCTAATAGGAACTGGTAAAAATTACTAAAAATATATATTGAGACAAACATCAATCTGATTTAAATACAGATCTAAATTTACCACTCCAATACTTTCCGTTCAAGCATCAACTGTTGAGTTTTTCAAACATTCCTTGGCCCATTATGATTCCGTCTTTGTTTGTTATTAATATTTCTAGAGAAGCATTGATTGAAACGGTCTCGAATTTCATGTGTAGGTTGACATTGTTTTGTACTTGTGTATTAAACATTGCAATTCAATATCAAAAAGTAAAAATGGCCGACAGACATAGACAGTTGAATCGAATGAAAGACAGCTTTTATAACTTCTTATCAAAAGGATGAAAAAGGCTAAGGGAAAGTAAATCATGGTAACAACAACTTAAACACGTCACACACATTTAAACAAACACACAAGTTTGTACAAGTACATTACAGCATATATGTACACCATCATAGTCAGATATTGGAAGACTTGGACCAAAATTCCATGTGGCATGGGTTAACTGTTTAATAAACTGAATTAAGATTGTAAAGATAAGTATATGTAATAGTCAGCAGACATGCCACATCATAATTTCTAATTTAATATACAATTAATTGGGTTTTTTTTGTTTTTGTTTGGTTTGTTAAATACATCTATTTTTTTTCAAAGTGGTATATAAGTTACAAGAGTTTGTGTGTTGTTTTTTTTTCTTCAATTTAACCAAGCACATCTTTCAATATGACAACAAAAATAAAGTAATCAAATGAAAATGTGAAGAAAGTATTTGTTATCAAAATAAACAAATCTATTATCTAGAAGTATAATAAAGTAGCGGAGGCCTCGTAAGTTTGTCTGTTTAACATAACTTAGACAAGTATGAACAAAATAAAGATGTTTATGTAGAGTAAGACCTGGTGTCCCGGAAGGACAAACGTTTTCTGCTGCATCTGTCTCATAATCGTATTCAACCTGCATCTTTCGATAACCTTGGATACAATCCCGTAAGCACCAAAGATTGAGGCATTTATTTCATATCTGATCGGTATGAAAATCGTTTCGTAGTTTTAAATGAAGCAAACGAAAATCGTGCAAACTCGTCGTTTTCTTCATAAGTCAAGTACACATGTGTTACAAATCTCCATCCTTTTCATCATTTTTGGTGTAAGTAGTACCCAAGCCCACTTTATTGCATATTACCTGCATTTATTTTAAGTTAAATATAAATAACCAGTTTAAGATAGCCCTATCGCAGTATTTTTCCGAAATCCTCCTTACTTTTATATAAGCACTTTAAATAGCCTTTTCTCAAATAAAACCCCTCATTGTTATTGAAAGTATCGTTTCCTTGACATGTGATGACAGTTAGTTATTTTCAGATTTTAGATTTTAAAACGAAAGTAAAGATGGCTTACTGCCAGCACTGTTGGGTTTTTCCGTAAAAGTGTATGTGTTGAATATATTAAACTCCTAGTTTATCGAATTGATCCTGAAGGGAAAACATGTTTTCTTTACACTGCAAATACCTGACTACTTTTAGAATGTGCATATTGACGGAGTCCATGGTATTGGCTCTATTTATCTTAAGTACTATCGTAAAACTGTAAGTATTACTTTTCACCAGACTTAAGTCAGTGTTGTAGTAAATTGAAATTAATCTTTTTTGATGTTTCAATTGTACTGAGATATCCTGTATAATGAAAATCGTACCCTTTACGAATATTCACATGCATGTGAGAGATACTATATAATTATACACAAGATGTATGTAACATGTAATGTACATTATATGGGTATTTAAAAGTTGACGGTAGGTGAAGACATGCTGTGTATTTTCTATGATGTTTAAATAGAATTTTACCAGAAGGATACGGCGTCACGTGCTTACAATCAAGGAGCATAGGAACGTTTATCTGGATACTTTTAACATTCTATTCTGAAGGGCTCTGACTATTTATCCGCGATTCTATTTCCGCCTTTGTCTCGATTTATAATCAGAATTCCTTTCTATACACAATTTAGTATTGACAAAACATATGTTGCATTTACAATTATTAGAAATGAAAGAGGTCACCTACGTAAAGAAAAAATGACCACTTTTGTCTTTCCTCACCCCGCCATATATTCTTTACTCTTGCATGTACTGAAAAAATTAGAGAATCGACATTTTGTTCACTTGAAGTTGATGTGCAGCTATATAGTTGCGAACCTCAAAGGATATAACAGCGTTTCTGTGAATTTTCGTAGATAAATTTGTTCATTACATCAAACAGAATAGCTTATTTAAAAAGTTATTAATATTCTCAAATGTAATGTTTAAGTATATCAGAAACGTCTTTTTCACAGTTGTGGACCACCATTAGAGTAGACGTCATAAAAGTCAATATCCGTTAAAGTAGTACAATTATCAATCATTGTCTTTCCAGGTCAAAGGGGGCAAACTTCTTTAGCAACGATATAATTTTCACTTTTCTTGTCATTGGAATATTTGTCGTCATCATCATCGTTACCATAGCCTGTCATTCACAGTGTCGGAGACGAAGAAATAAAGGGGTAAGTAAACGGAGGAATTTGAAAACGAAACTTGGTACATATGATCCTTGTTTGGAAGGAATCATGTGCTTGTTCTTCAGGTTAGAAGCAGTGACACTTTAGTATCCGTCCAAAAGTTCTGTTCGTATTGGCCTATTGTGACCATATTTGACAATCATTAATGATTTTACTAAAAATAGAATTACGGTCACTTCTTATGTCATTATATGTGACATTTTTGCCCAATTTTGTTACCCATGTTGTTTTTGTTGGAGTGGTTCCATGCAAGAGACTATACTATTATCATGTGATGTGTTACTAAACATAGATTTACAATTACTTTAGTTTCCATGCAATAATGTATGTTCTTATGTGCTGCACATGTCTATATTTGATACACATGAAGCATGTGTAAATGGGCACATCAAAAGAAGCCAAAAGTCTGACCATCTGTTGTTGCTAAAATAGAAGTCAGTTTTGTTTTTGATTTTATAACTATTATTATTTTAGTATAGTTCGTAGAGAATGATCATCCGGTTTTCATGAATGTAAAAATATATGCCTTGGTCTACGAATTTGCTGAATGTGCTGACTAAAAGCATTTTACGTAGTCGTGAAATGGCTGTGGTTGCTGTGAATCACAAAATGTACTTTATGGACATCACAAATTATAAATTTATCTTATGCATGTTATAAACGTGTCAAGTGTTTTAGATCAGCGATATTGTTTCTTACACGTTATACCTCAGATATTCACACGTGAATGACAAACTTGATTGTTTTGGGTTTTGAACACACAATACTGTAATACATGTATATAGAAAATGCATATATTTATTTTTCAGAATAATGATAACAAGGTTAACAGTCGACTTAGAGTTGTCCGTCAAAAGATGGGTAAGCACGGAAGAGTAATAAATTCTTCAGTGGGCTAATTTTCTTCTTCAGAGCAATATACATCGCCGATGATTTCAAAGACCTCTTCTCTACACAACGGATAACATGTATCGTGTTATCAATATACTGATGTTATATACCTGTTGAATATCAAATAACATTGTGATTGAATTACATAATTTTGCAAATGTTAATCTTATTTCTGATATCCTTTCCCTAGTTTATGCTTATCATGTTTAATTGTGTATTACAGATAGCATTAATATTATCAATTGGTATTTGTTTCATTTTCCGTAAGGCTCTGATTGTGCAATTTGTTTAGAGGAGAATAACATGATGATCAGGCCAGTCGTCGAATTAACTTGTAAACACGGTAAGTTTTTAATTGATTTCTTATTTTGTCATCGAAATAACTTGTTAACACTGTAGGACATTAACTATATGATTATTTTGTCATCGAAATAACTTGTTACCAATGTAAGATATTAACTATTTGATTATTTTACTATGTTACTTTGTTCTATATTCTGGGGCCCTTTTTTGCTGGTTTTGTAACAAGATCGACAAATTGTCAAATTCTTGACAACTAAACATGTTCGACAATAACACCTATGTATAGTGACTTTCAATAAAATAATTACCGGTATGCATATTGCAACAGAAAGCATTGCTGGCAAACATTTTTATCGTTACAGTAAGAGATAGCTTAAACAGAATATCTGTTGAGTCATTCACAAAAGGCTATTTATTTTGGTATTGTAGTGTATCATAAGGATTGTATCAGTAAATGTCTCGAGATGGACAAGAGGGCCAAATGTCCACAGTGTCGACGACAACCAGGACAATTCTCTACTACTGATCGATTCATCGCCAACATCATGACGGTTGTGAGGATGAGAAACGAGAGAACAATTGAAACTAAAGCAAGCAAATATCAGCAAGCAGAGGAGAAAGGGAAAATGGTTTCAGAATACACAGGTAAGCGACTAGCACAAATTAAAGTTTTATTTGCGGCAAGAATAAAAGACTTGTAATCTATTGATTCCAATAAGAAAATCCTCCAGGTATTTTCGGTTTCCTTTTCTTTGTATATTCTCTTTATTTCCTTTCTCTCTTTCATATTAATGTCTCCTATATCCAAGTGAAGCTCTCGAAAAATCTCGAAAATTCTGAGTGCTGTAGAGTACAAATAGTTTTAAAACTCCATTATAAATGTAATAATATCAAAACGGTTACATGAGTAAAAAAACTTTGAATAATACTCATAATTATCTTCATTTCCAGATATACCCAAGTGTAGTGGTCGCACAATTCTTGTCGAATCGATTGTCTGAGGTAAAAACTAACTAGGTGGTGCTTCAGAACTCATTACAAGTAATCATTGCTGAAGAATTAAAAGAAAGCAAGCATTCATCATCATGATTACTACGGACATAAATGTCAGGGTCAAGGATGAACATTAATGAGAAACCCAGAGGTGGTGTAGTTCATCAAGGCGAATACCATACTTAATAACCGTACGAATTAATTCTCAGACGTGTTCGACTTCCTGGTGCTATGGTGACAGGAGAAAGTTCTACTTGGTATATGTCTGACAATTTACATGGACCATGCGTGTTGCCATGGTGACGTGACATGCTATGCGTTAAGGAGAAATACCATTTTTCCATCCAATTACAGACAGTTGTTACGCTATGTAATAGTTGATATCATTGTCTTGAAACAGAATTTTTATAAATATATCTAATATGTAGTCTGCTGTTTCACCAATGGTCATTTATTTGTACATTTGAAGAACAAGATTAAATAGCAAAGTTATTTTAATGATATGCTTTGTCCGAAACTTATTACTAAATGCTTCTTTCCATCAAATGTGTGTTAATTTTTATTTCATGCATGATATCCTAAAAACTCGAAACTCGAAAATCAGACTCATTTTCATTGACAGTGTGGAAATGCATATTTTCCAGAATTTTAAGTTCGTCTTGTTTTCGATTTTGTTCACTTTTGTTTTCATCACCTTTTCTCATAAAAAAAACCGGGTTCTAATAAACCATATGTAGGTTTCCTGTTGTTATGCTGATGCACAACAATATAGCCGGTATTAATCTTAAACAACATTTTGCTCAGCTATTAACAGTGGTATCAATCTCAATTTTCCAATTTGGAGTAAAATGATGTCACCATATGATTCATTCACTTATCAATACAAGAAATGATTAAGACAAGAACAAAAAAAGAAAGAAAAAGAAAAGAAAAAAAAAAAAAGAAAAGAAAAAAGCTGAAACAAAGAAAAGAAGTGAAAATATCCATTTTGGGTGGACATTATTTCTGAAGCAATGGGACATTGATAAAAATAGAAATAGTTACGGCGTGAGTTTCTGTCATTTATTGTTTTTTATCGGACAATCAATAGAGGGAAAGATAATGGAAATCACTTTCAATGTTCGGGGAGGATTTGTTAACTTTTCTTACGAAATGTAAGTACATTTTAAACCATGAAATAGTGATACCGTTTACCTGTGAATAGCTGACTCTGTCACCATAGGTTATGTAGAAATATATATGTCATAAGAATTTTTGTTTATTTTTCATATTATCATTTTGTTCAGATTTTTCATTGACCTGAGAGTTGGTTTTAATTCTTGAAACATTTTTTTTTAATTTAGTAATTGTAATATTGCTTATCTGTTATAAAGGAAGGAAGTCAATTTTCATTTTACGTTATCCTTTTGTTCATAGAAAAATAAAAATTATATAAAAAAAAATTTGAGTTTATTTTTTCTCTCAGTAGCAACGTATCGAGCTATATTAAATTGATAAATGAAACTTCTGCCGTTTTCATCATTAAACAAAACGTGACATCAACTTTTTCCATCAACTTGCATCTCTCGAAATCGTTTGTTGTAAGTTTTTGGGGAACCATCTAGAAATATACAATTCGCAAGGATAACTAAACTGATACGTTTATCATAGAGTTGGAAGAAAGGCTATTCTAAAGGATTTTATGATAAGAAAATATCGTGATAAGGGTCTGTTGTGCAGGAGTCTGTGTCGTGTCCGTGATGGCAATTGTTCTTTACAACACGATAGACATGGTCAACAATTTTTTTGTAATGTAAATAAAATAATATATTTTAAAATGGCATCTCAAGATCCTTTGAACTGTTTAGAAAAGTTCTTCGAGTAAATGAAAATTTGAAAAAGCGAAACAAAGACAAAAAGGGGGAAAACCGAAAAAGAAATAAAACAAAAAAATGAAACAAAGCAATAAACAACAAACAAACAAGTCAGCCAAGAGATTGACAGTTTGTTCCTATCAGCATGCCAGTAGTCTGTTGGAAGATCTTACCACCGAGCGACGTTATTGGCAATATTAGGCGTTTTTAAGCTTTCCGTCTAGATTTTGACATTTCTTTCGATCATGTTTGGTTGTTTAAAAAGGCACCTTTTAGATTTCGAAATCTAGGCATTTTGCTTCACCAAGATGGACGAAACAGCTGGTTGATACATTAATTCATTATCTGACTTTAGTGTATTTTATTTGGCGCGATTTCAAGTCCATATGCAACCATAACATGTATCAGGTTCACAATTTGAGGTTCTGTCTACTTGTGTATCTTCCTGCAAACGACAAATCAGAAAATGACTTTTTTGAAATGATGTTATTTTAGAAAATAACAGCTTTATGTTATTTTCTAATTTGGAAGTCTTATCTCTAAATTGAATATGAATCACCATTTTGTAAACTGTGCCACCTAATTACAGTTCACATTACAAAGAGCAATGATTGAAGGTTATATTTAGATACGGGTGCAATTGCCTATTTTTAGATCGTTTGCACAATTACAACTGAAAAACCTAAAAAGGGATGACTCACTGTTATATAAATAGCCATAATAGGTAGCTATTAATACAACTCAACAACACTGTGTTTTGTTCCGGACGGTTTACATTCACTTTACAATGATTATTCCGATCAAAACGAATCAAACATTACCGAATATAAATTCGGAAGGCAACGGTACCTGGATAGCTGCCTTCGTCGGTGGCTTTCTCATCGTCGTCATCATCATCACTACGATCTTTTATCTATGCACCTGGACATTCAGCAAAAAGAGGGTGAGTGCATGGATAAATAGAAGTTCGTTGTCAAAATTGCATTGAAAAATATATTGTTTCTTGTTGGATTTGAAGTTAGATGTGCTCGATGCTCAATAATATGTCTGGTGCTGTCGTTGATTTTTCGGAAGGGTAAGAGTCTTCTGCATCATCGACTATACATGCCATGTAAATCTTGGCCTGTCCACGTATGGAGAATAAAGTGCGTAAATGAGAACAAAGAGCAATACCAAACCACTAGGTATACCGAACGAGCAACAAAGACGTCAAACTTCAACGGAATTGGTGATCAAACACCGTAATTACAAACAAATACGGCACTGACAACATAGCATACAACATCTTTTCCATGTTTTCCATCTTATATCTATCTATAACCATATATATGGTGATTTCATTAAAATGTTTTATGTAGTACACTATGGACGAAAATGTTACGAAATAGCATACTAACAATCAGCCACAACTATTTATTCAATAGTTAAGTGCATGGAATTTAATAAACAAGTTTAATGAAATAAAAGTATATGAATAAAGAAATAACATATACAAAAACGATTTACAGGAAACTTTTGAAGGCGTGTCAAGGATAAACTTTCTATAGCTGTTTTGCATAAAAACTAATGCTATTCATATTTCAGAACTATGGGTTTTGCTGTAGCGACATCGACAGCCGATTTCGAGCTGTATGTCAAACGACGGGTATGTTTTGTTTAGGTTTTCAATGCATTTAAAGGCTCTTTAGGCATAACGTAATATACACTTGTTACTATTCCCTTCATAGTATAGAACAGTACTTTTACCAAATAAATCTGACATTAAAATTCGTTACCTTGTTTATTTATTTAGGAATATCGATATACACTTGCTATGATATGTTCTATACATCCTACATAGTATATTACCAGGTATGGATTTTAGTGTAATCTTTATAGGGTAATATTTAAATAGTGGAATAATCATTTATGTAGTGATAAAAGTGAATTTATATTTGGTAAAATCATTACTTGAACAACTATCATCTTAGCAATATGCGATTAGTTGTTAATTTCCGTAATAGAAACTGTTAACAAATTATCTTATTTTCTTGTTTAAATCTAGGTTCTGAGTGTGTCATTTGTTTAGAAGATAAAGATGCACCAACTAGGCTAATCGTTGAACTTCCTTGTAAACACAGTAAGTTGTAATGAACTGTACTGAGGTGCTGTTCCGTCTCATTTCCTTTGTATGTAATTCGAAAAACTCTTGAATGGGACATCTGCATTAAACTGTTTAAGACAATTCGACACAAAAAATATCAGAAATTGAAAAAAGTTGAACAATTCGTTGTTTCTGACGATACACTACAATACACTATGAAAAATTTTACAGCGTTCCATCAGAAATGTATCGGTACACATCTAGCGAACGATAGAAGAGCAAAGTGTCCACTTTGTCGACAACAACTAGAACCATCCTCAACCACAGGCCACATCGCCATCATCCAGAAGATTGTGAAGATTAGATCTCACAGAGCACTCGAGAATAAGACAAGCAAATATCGACGTGGACACGAAGAAGATCATTCAGAGGCACAACATGGGTAAATTTAAAACGTTACTTTATCATTTTATCTGCTACACTGTCTATTTGTCCAAATGGGATATTTATCAAAGAGTGGTATTTGAAAATTATCATCTTTCAATTTCCAAATATAGTTCATTGTAGTAGTTACACCCCTTCCAGTTCAGCTAAAGCCAATGCCTGTGGACCTGCCTCGCAGTTCTTAATTAACGATCAACAAAATGTGAAAATAAAGGATGTTTCATCGTTCTCTACCACCATTGGGAACATTGATAGTTTTGACCTTTTGATTAAAACATAAAACGTCATCATCATCATCATCAAATCATCATTATGTTGAATCATCATCATCATCATATATCTGTATCTTGTTTGAGAGGAACCTATTTTGATTACTCTTTTCTGAAGGCAGACTTTTTTTACAACATGTATTGACAAATAAACAGAACCATACACACTTCTTTACACACATCATCATCATCATCATCACCACAGTAATCATCATCATCATCATCATCATCATCATCATCATCATCATCATCACTACCATGATCATGATAATTATCATCCATTCATCATCATCATCATCATCATCATCATCATCATCATCATCATCATCATCATCATCATCATCATCATCATCATCATC